AGTCACAAGATGATTGTTACTGATAATTCCCTTAAATCTCACAAGTCATGAGCCAGCAGACATGAAGACAGTCTGTCTGCAAGTTTGTGGGAACATATAAAATGAACGATAACACAATTAGAGCTTCAGAAAACTTATTTCAGTGCCTTAGGAGAAAAAAAAAAAATCTGGAGTCAGTTATTTCTGAGCAAAACAGGTAAATTTGGCTGTATGATCATAACACCAAGGGAACACAACACTAGATAAGATATTCAAGCTAGTATCAACAATTTTAACTAAACATTATTCCCTTTCAAACATTTTAGGATATTAAACATGATTATTTCTGTTTCGCTATTTTAAAAGAATAGTTCATCCAAACTGAACATTTGCTGAAAATGTACTCACCCTCAGGCCGTCCAAGATGTAGATAAATGTGTTTCTTCATAGGAACATATTTGGAGAAATGTAGCATTACATGACTTGCTCTCCAATGGGTCCTCTGCAGTGAATGGGTGCCGTCAGAATGAGAGTCCAAACATTTAATAAAAACATCCACAAGTAATCCACACCACTCCAGTCCATCAATTAACTATGATGAAAATGCTGCGTGTTTGTAAGAGACAAAAATATCACGGTATTGTCATTTTAAATGCTCACTTCTGGCGAAAATCCATAATTCATAATAATGCTTACTTCATTGAAAAAGTCCATCCCCTGTTGCCTCTCACATTAAAATTCACCAACATATTTGTTTAGAGCTGTTTTGACTTGTAAACGGTGCTTAATTTGTGCATATTTCTCTCCTGATTCAGACCAGACAACTTTTTCACTTTCCACGAAAGCAATATTATGGATATAGAACTCGTGATTTATCTGGAAGCAACAGTTTGAAGTTAAAAACGTCTCAATGATGGAGATGTGATATAATATAATATAATATAATATGATATAATATAATATAGCATAATGTGAGATAATATAATCTAATGTGATATGATATAGTATAATGTGATATAATGTAATATAATATAATATAATATATAATGTGATAAAATATAATCTAATGTGATATAGTATAATATAATGTAATATAATATAATATATAATGTGATATAATATAATATAATGTGATATAATGTATAATATAATATATAAATGAACAGCCCAGTTCTACGGAAGTTCTAAGCGGCCATGCATAATTTTTTTTTCCCCTTCTTGTTTTCTCGTTATAACGACTTA